GAGAGAGAGAGAGATGCATTCCCATCTATTTGTGGGTTCTCATTAGCAAAAGGTAATGCATGGTGGATGTTCTCTAACAGACATTGGATATCCAAGTGAGAAAACTGACATAAAATAAGTATATTAGTAGATGTGTGTACGTGTGAATTCTCTCAAACATGCAATTGAATGTGCAAGTGGCCACAAAACATGGTTATGTATGTAGTATGTATGGGTGCATCTATGTGCTATTGCATGTGTATACATGATCTCATAGTTCGTTAGGTGATATATGGAAACATCCTTCGGAGAAGTCTGTTGGCATCTCTTATGATCTATGTTTGATACTTAATAATCTCTAATACTCTATGAATAGTTTGTTTTAGGAAGGATAAAATGCCCAAGAATAGTGGCAGATTTTAAATGGTTAGCACCACAAAAGCAGCCTGTAAAGCGTGTTTGATAATTGGAAGTTGTCTCGCAGAGTTAGAGGAGGTGGCTTTGGGAGCTGCTTCTTCCTTCAGTCAAACAGGCTTGTTAATTAATTTTGAAAAGGAGTTTATATTGCTTTTTTGGGTCAAATTTTTTTATTGGCTTTATTTTTGACAGAAAATGCCAGTGAGAGATGAGGAATCTCAGTCACTTTCCTTGCTGAAGAAATTTTGATATTTTAATATTTTGAAGGATATTTTTATAATTTAATGATAAATAATAAAATATGTTCACCAAATACATAAGTTATACTCTATTGAGCTTTGATGGGAAGATATATAGAATAACATTTTAAGTGTATGGATGTATTCCGATTTTGTACTTCTCAATGTTCAGTGTCGTTCATAATTTTTGCACGACTGAACCTACACCTTCTTGCTAGAGAGAGCGAGAGAGAGAGAGAGAGAGAACATTCTCTGCCATAGTTTCTATAATCCTTCTATTTTCATAAACTTGTTATTTTTTTAACAATAAAATAGAATGATTGGATTATTTTTCGAGAAGGATTGTATACAATGAGACTTTTTACCTTTAGTACATGGAGGTCACAATTACTTATAACTGTTTGATATGAAATTTGATAGCTTGGATGTGTTATAAAGTTCAAGAAATTTTTTTTTGAATTTTGTCCTTGATCAATGAAATAAATGCAACCTCTCAATTTTACATCTAATGATCAAGATTAATTGTGACCTCTTGTATCAAATGTAAATGGTCTCATTATATATTTTATCTCATGTGAGAAATATCAAATTCTTTTTCTTGGAAGAAAAATATTAAAACTAGAAATACCATATTATCGTCCTATCAAAGTGAGTTCGCGACTAATGAGTTGCCTGGTTTGAGACCCAAATTACAAATTGCGATAGCTAATATTTGCATGATTAGAAAATTTGATTCGTTGAAAGAAGGAAAAAGTGTTTAATGCACATGGTTGAGTTTTGGATTGTCAGATCTTAGTATTTAAATATTCAAGATTTAATTTTTAAACGATTGTATACAATGAGACCATTTACCTTTGGTGGTTACAATGAGTTAAAACCATCCAATGTGAAATCTAATCGTTTGAATGTGTCACAAAGTTCAAAAATTTTTTTGTTGAATTTTGAGTTTCGTTAATGAAACAAGTGCAGCCACCATTAATTGTGACCACTTTGTAAACAATCAATTTAAGGCGTACTTTCAAATTTTATCATAACATATAATTTTGATGTATAATATTATTAAGATTATCTCAAATTTTATTTTAAAATCAAATTATAAAAATTTTAAACTTTAAAAATATTAAAATCAAGTAGATCCATAAACACATAAAAATATTGAAAATGGACGGTCTAGATAATGTGTTATGAGATGCATCATTTTTGGGGATCAAAATCCTTTTTTCTTTTCATAGTCATACACATCCATGTTGAGATGAACCATTAGAGGGTTTTTCCACATTAAAACAACCTTTATCAATGGATTTTTGAGGTGCATCACCTTGTAATCTTATACGAACTTTTCCCTTTAAAATACTTGTGGGAATTAACAATTTGAAAACAAAACTGCCTGCGCATAACAACTTATGTGGTTGATACTTATGCACCTGGATATATGCTTTTGTCACGCATCTTGCAAATAAGCCTACGCAGGTTATGGAAAGGGGTTAAGATTGTGGTGTGTAGCACCTCACATTCTAGTCACTGCGTTGTGGTTTTTATTCTCATCATCAATATTATCCTACTAATACTTTCAAACAGCTAACTCTTAATTTACTTGAAAAAACAGGTAGGGGTTTATCTTATCCACTGAATTACCAAAAAAAAAAAAAAAAAACTGATGCAGGTTGTTTCTATATTGCGTTTACTTTACCATCAATAAATGAAATAAGAAAAGAACCAGAGAAATGCGTTTTACTTTTACTATAAATGAAATAAGAAAAGAAAACAGCGTTTTACTTTTACAATAAATAAAATAAGAAAAGAACTAGAGTAACGCGTTCCACTTTTACAATAAATGAAATAAGAAAAGAACCGGAGAAATTATCCAGAAAAAAATGTCTTTTACAATAATGAAATAAGAAAAGAAAACGGAGAAATAACCCAGAAAAAAATGTTTTAAGTGGATAAAATTGTCAAAATGTGCCTTTCAAAGCATGTTATAACAAGCTGGAGCATGGTACATGCATCGTATGGGGGCAGCAATTTAAAAAATCACGGAGTCAACTTGGAGTTGTCCTACTAAACTTGAGATTGGGCGCCAGGTGAGTCTGCTTTGAGAAACACCAGAATCACCCCAAATTGGTTTTGAAGCTTCGAGAAACACTAAGAATCACCCCAAATTGGCCTGAGGATTTGGAATTTCACACCTTGTGAGTTGGGCCTGAATCTCATTTTAGAAAGGCTGCTGAGGAGCATGCTTAGTGCACCCTGAGCAAACTTATGTCTTGGACCAAAAATATTTTTATGTTCTCCTACCACTACTACATATAAACACCATGTGGCCCGCCCTTAGAATATATCTTTTTATAACTTCAGAATCCAATCCCTGCAAATCCATTTCCACCAAAAAACCTGAGCAAATTTGAATGATACTCTGGTTCATTGGATTGTATAGCAAAAGTTCAAAAGCCAAATATAGAAGTAAAAGTGGAGATTGCGTTTGCTGGATAACAAACACTGCAAAGGACCTTGTTATTGAGAGGTTTCAAAATTCAAACAAAACTCGATTCTTGGAAATGTGGGTATCTGTCCTTTGGTGACAAAATCACAGCGGCATTACCACCCTACTACTTTTCCATACTCAAGCCACCTATAGTGATATATAGGATGGAAGGGATGATGAAGAATGTCCTGTAAATTTTGGCATAGAAGGTAAGAATAAGTTCCATTTCGTTAGTTGGAATGCAGTATGCACATCGAAGAATCTAGGTGAATTTCGCATTCGAAGATTGAAACAAATGAACGAGGCCCTGCAAACTAAATGATGTTGGATGTTAGCAATGGGAAGCCTAACGTTATGGAAAGTTGCCCTTTGAAATGCAAACATGATTCATTTGTGAAGAAGTTGTCCAAGAAAAAAAACAGCCTCTGATATTTAGAAAAAAGATGCCTGTAGACAAACATAAATTTAGTGGGAGTGTGGTCCTCTTGTGGACAATACTGGGCAAATGCTATTTGCCCATATTCGGACTAGACTTGACGTACTATGCTAGCCAAGTTTGGAAAAACCCACAATACCTGGGCATAAGGATCTACCAAGAAGGATTTAGTAAGTTAACCCTTGATGAGGTCGGAGTATGCCTAGATGAGAGCCAAAAGACTGTGTGGCCCTTACATATGATGAATAGCCTTTAGAAACAGGACTAAAACCTCATCGTTATATTCGATTCCCATCAAAATTAATTAGTTTTAATTAATTTTATGATCTATAATTTTTAGAATATTTATTTGAATTTTTTGTGAATCTTCTGATATTTTATTTTTGTCATTTGGATTTATGAATTACAAAAAATTAATTTTCTAGTGTTGTAAATAAAATATAAGATTTAAAAATGAGAAAATATCTCGATACCCCTTATTTTTAGGTTTCATTTCACAATAGACCCAATGTTTTAAAATATACCTTGGGACATAAAAATTGTAGATTTTATTTCTTGTAACCCTCTGAGCTACTTTAAACTTGTTTTTTTTGGCCAAACAAATTTAAAAAGACATGCACTTTCAAACAGCCATCCTCCCAAAGTTCTCTCTTTCTCTCTCCCCGTACCCCTTCTCTCTCTCCATCTTTCTCATCTCTAATCCCTCACTCTCTCTCCTCTAGCTCTCTCTTCACGTTTCCATCTCTCTCATCACTCTCACTTCACGTTCCCATCTCTCTCCCATCACACTCTCTCTCTCTTTATGTTTCCCATCTCTCTCCTATCACTCTCTTCTCTTAAATACTCTCTCTCCATCTTTTCCATCTATAATCCCTCACTCTCTCTCCTCTAGCTCTCTCATCACGTTCTTATCTCTCTCATCACTCTCTCTTTCTTCACGTTCTCATCTCTCTCCCATCAGTCTCTCTCTTCACATTTCCATCTCTCTCCTCTCACTCTTTTCTCTTAAATACAAAGTATGTATACGGAGAGAAAGAGAGGTGTTTAGATAAACACAGGAAGACAGAGAGGTGTTGGGTAGTTAGAGGTTACCGGGACGAGATAGGTGTTTGGATAAACATAAAAAGAGAAAGAGAGGTATTTGGATAAACAC